AGGTTCTTGGATGAGAGTAAAACATTCCCACAGGTCACTGTAAACCATCGTGAAGTGCTTCCTCCCACGATCCTTTCTAAGGAAACAGTTATGGACGTTTTGGGAGTCTCGAAATTTTAAGCTTTTCCATGCAAATACCTGCTCGACCAGGTTAGGCTTCCCTCAGCCAATAAAACGTCGAATACGTCGGCGCGGGTCTCTCGTGTGTCAGCCACGCGCACTCCTATAGCGAGCGGTCAGGTCATAATAGATGCACGAGACTGGCTCGTTTTGCTTTCTTATTCTCCTACGTGCGCCGCCATTATAGCTCATCCACGGAGCCGGAATAAGGCAAAGGGTGAAGCCAACGCGAATCGCAGAAACGTGGGAACTACGGCCAGGTGATCCGGCCGTATGGAATATGCGGACCCAGAGCCAAGGACCATTCCGGAAGGGGTACGTTTATACGTAAGAATATGGGCATGGCGAGGTGGGCCTTGCCTGCCAAGGACACGTACGGGGTGTTTGGATACATGCACCCTGAGGATAATGCAATTGCGTCGCAGACCTATATCGTGTAATACGAGCTCTATGAAAGATTAGATTTTTTATTTATATTGGTATGAGGAAAACCATAATGATTTTGGTATACATATGAATTTACGTAATTTGACAAAAAAAAAAATTTGTTTTTGAGAATATACAATATATGTTGAAATTAAGGGGCGAAATTAATTTTCCTCAGTGAAGTGATATTTATGGAATTTTTATTGGGAATGACAGGGTATTTTTTTATTTAAAAATAAAAATTTTAAAGTTACCTGAACACGGACTTTTATACCCTATACAAAATGTTTCCTTGCGTGTGTCCAGCACACGACCTGATTCTCAGTACTGGGACCTACTGACCCAATTCGAATGAATGGGGTATTTCAGTTTACGATCGGAAATTCGGTATAAGCTTTGTGTCAAAGGTGTCCCACTTACTTTCTAAGACTCCTTATTAAATTCCCATGCAAAAGTTATACCCATGAAATCGCCTATTATTCACTCCGTACGACGATTCAAGTACACCCAGTGTACTAAAAGTTCAGTAAACGAATTATAATGCGCGAAAAATTACGTGATACATAATTCAAAAAGATTACAATTTTAGAAACCCCATCTGACCTAGAACACGTACTAGGAAGTTTCCGGGAAAGTTCAATTATTCCAAGATTTTTTTACCCCACTGAGGGAACGTCATATTTCCGAATTCCCAACGAAGCCACCCTCACGAAGTCGCAAGGGTGGATTTAACAAAGTTTAATTTTTTTTCGCTAGTACTTCTCACCCAACTCCCACGGAAACCCCTTACGCTTCTCCCACTTTAACCAGCCACAACCTATGGACTCAACCAGATGTTAAAAAATAGTCTCTATATGAGGAAAAATAGGGTTCCCCATTTTTTGACTCCTCTCTATATAACCATCGTATTCCATAAGTCGATGGCGTGCATAGAGAAATTACAGGGCGCTCCATATGGGAAATTAAGGAATTAGGCTAAAGAGAATGGATGCTCCCGGCTGTTGCCAGGGACCGGAAGCCAAGATTTTAGATTCTCGGATATACCGTACGCAGTTTCCTCTTACACGGAGATTCCCATGAAGGGACGTGGGTGGATGGTTGCAGGTGCATCGTGAGATGCATCCGAGGATCCAGCAAGTGCGAGGGTGGGCGTTCCAAATTTAGAAGTGGGACTCGCCTTCCACAGAATTCTCAAGAGACTTTCGTGGTCAAGCCAAAACCATTCGGAGCCTCAGGACTCTTCGGGTTAATGAGAAGGTCGCGACATCTGACCGGACGCCTTCCGTTATGACAGCCAACCACGAATATTTATGGGAAAGTACAGATCATGGGAAACGAAGACCTTGCCCATGGAAAACTTTTCCCTACAGGAATAATCATTGCCATTTTTTTTAATCATATAAAATATTTTTTTTCAACCCTTACTAACTCACGGTATATAATCTTGAGATCATCGCTTTATCACAGTTAACCATATTCGTAAAAAAAAAAGTAGCCACACTTCGCCGTATACAGTCTCCAAAAAAAAGTACGTAATAAATTAATTTTTATAGTAAAAATAAAAAAGCATACTTTTACAGTGAATAAAAAGTCTTTCTTAAAAAAACTATACATACGAAGCATCCGTACAATCTTCCCGTTTGAAATACCAAAGTACTACTCTTTTCCGTAATATCTTTTTTCCAATTGTAATAATGCATAAAGTATTCAGAATGATGTTTAAAACAAGTTTGAAGGTCTAACAGAAAAATGTACAATGTCAAAACTCCACCCATACTTATACGTATAAGGCAGCAACATTATATAAAGTGCAGATGCAAAACCAACCAGAGAGCCTCCCCTAGCTAGACCTGACTCGTCACTACTTCGCTAGGCCTTACCGTACTCACTTTATCCCTAGGCCTTCTTCCTGAACTTACTCGACCTACGTCTCACTAAGGCCCAATGGCTATACGCAATAATATACCAGTCCTACGGACAATGCTAGACTTTAGCAGACATATTATGCGTTTACTGATGGTAGGGAAGGTACCCGAAATAAAACCATAAACTACAAAGTTATATGGCAGGGAGTATTATCCTTTTACCTTATAACGGACTAGCGACTTTTAAAATTATGTACTGTATAAAATTGTCCAAAAAAAAAGTATATTCGAATCTAATTCTAAACAATTCCTTAAAATCATTGCCCATAATACCATCAATTTTCCCATTCAAATTGGAGACCTAGACCAATGAAGGGTACGTCAAAATTATTATTGATAAGAAATATTTTTCATTTCGATTATTTATGAAGTGGTTTCGGATCCATATGTGTATAGTATGCAAGTACAAAAAACGAATAGGTAGCAGCTGCACGGGTATTGTGATATTATCAAAAAAATTTTGATAAAAATCGTGCGTTGAAACCCGCGACAACGTTAGGTATAAATGACATTGGCAATAGTGAGGTTAAGTTGGGTTTTACGCCGTTACCCTCTTCTCTTAATTCTTTGTTTGCATCTGCTGCTGCTGGCTAGCGTGACGGAAGCGGGAGAACTTTAAACAATGGGAAATCGGAAATAAATAGAGTTCGAGGCTACTTCGAGGCCGCAGTCTCTAAAACACTATAGCTTTATGTTTTATCCATCTGCTGAATCTATACAGCGCTCCTCTACCAATAATAATCTTGATCCAAGCTTTATAATTTTTGGCCCTTCTTCTAATTCTCCACTGTTTCGAGTATGGGTGTACGAAAATTTTCTATTCAAGCTTAATACAATACTGTGGAGAATTTATCGATTGGAGATAAGAAGCCATTGCTTACTGTAAAACGTCTCTCACCTGCAAATGTTTTTTCTTTCGCTATCACGTTTCTTTGTAATAAAGCTCGATTCGTCTATGCCAAAATAAATCAATGATAAATTGCATTGAAAATCGTGAACGCCAAACATCCAGTCTATACGGTACGGCGGACAAGCTAGTACGGCGACGGAACAAACCGTGCGGCCTGCGGAACGTTTTCGGTCCCCTTAAAAGTAAAAGTTTTTCGGTGCAATAATCGGCCCTCGTAAATGTTTATTCATTTATTGCGTAGGCCATTGCCATTGGAAAATGGGCTGTAACTGATTTTGTCAACAGAACGAAGATCCTTGCTAGTCTTGTTTCTACGATTTGTTACGTACTATAGCTTATAGGGGTATGTATATATATATATATAAAGTTAAGTTTACCATACGTACACTAAGCCGGTACGAAGGACTTTCGTAATTTTATATTTATTTTTATTGTTTTATATTGGTTGAGCGAATCTAAGAATGTAAGCGTGCCGGATATTAAATTCATAAAAAAAACCTTATCAGGTATAAAAATCAGCTGTCTGCTGGCACGCGAGTGTTTTATAAACCAGCAATGTGCTATATTAATTTTAATTTTTTCATAACAGTATTCTTTCTAAATCGACTTAATAAGAAAATTTGGCGAGAGCCGAATTTGTTTAAAAAATTATTGTCTTACGTAATTTATTAGCAATAAACATAGTATACATTGTATGCTGACATGTGTTCTAATGTAAAATCGTGAACGGTGAATATTACCGTGAGAAAGACACGAAACGACAATTGCACTCTAATCAATGAAGAAGAATAACACTGAACAAATAAATCATTAAGTAATAAGTAAACAAACAATAGTTTCCTTCGTGGGAATTCCCATACGAAACTCACACATGCCTATACCACATACGGCCGCCGGCAGTGGATTGCATTGCGCGCGCCAGCCACACTTATGACGTGCGCGCACCTATGTTACTGCACTCACATGCCTTTCGGTCCTGTAGTATGTTTGTTTTTCCATACGTGATGCCTCAGTATCGTATGCCGTCAGACTGTGCTACGGTCCTGCCATCTTGCGTCGGCAATTATTTGAAACCTCAGAAAAAGACTAAGAAAATTTTGAAAATTATTTTATTGTACTGAAAAAAAAAAATAAACTAAAAATAAAAAAGTTGAAAAAAATTTTTTACCTTACTGTACGACTATACGTGACTGTCAAGATTGGTTGGACGAATGACAAAATTTTTATCGGATTTGTAATTTCGTAATTATTGCCAATTATTTGAAAAAAGTTTGTCAAATATCCAAGAGACTAACGTGACCTGGGCCTTGTTCTGGCGGCATGAATTCCCACGCATCAACAGGTCTCGTGAGGGCTGAGTCCCCCACTCTGGGTCTTGATGTTCCCTCTCTAAGCATGTTTACCCCCACCATCTAGTCTACGAGTGCATCGGCATGCGGTCTTAGCAGTCGAAAACGTCAAACAGTTACCCTCTACACCCCGAACGGGACATCACCGTTTTCGGTGCATCCCTTAACACTGGCACTGCTAAAGGAGACCCCTGTCAAGTCAGTTCACCGATGGAAACAGCGTAGTCGAATAGCGTGAACTGGTGAACGTGTTGCTCCGATTTATGCAAACTGAAACACTGACAGTGCACACCCCATGGACATAATAAATAGAATAAGTGTTTTGTGTGAAATTTTGTGATTTTTTTAAATGCGTGTACGTGTGTGAGTGTCTGTGTTTTTTTAAATATATATATATATATATGCTCATTCGAAAAAAAGAGAACAAAATAAGAATACCAGTGTATTTTATTGGTGTCATTACAATAATCACTGAATATTTGTACTTCGGCACGCGTTGTTACAATTCTTTTTTTTAAATGGTGGATTACTACAATTACAAGATGTCAGGAAGCGAGGAGGAGTTCGAGTCTCAAACCCAATCAGGGATGAGCAAGGCCGAACTTAGAAGGGTATTATTTGTTATCATTATTTATTTTAATTACAAATGAAAATGATACTCCCACTGTTTAGCATTAAGTTACGATAAGCACTGTGTACTGCAAGGACGATTTCAGTATAATAGTGAAAATTTTAGGAAAATTATTAATATTGCAAAATACCTCAATTATCACGGTATCAATAAGTATCTCAGGAAATCAAGGCGAGACATTAAATTCCACTGACCTACAATCTGGAACGCGATCGTATCGTAGAAACCACGTGTACCTAGATACGAGAAAGCACGTGTGTTGCCGACCTTGTTGAAACTTAGTTAATAACGCAAAAAATCTTTGATTCAAGAGTATCTAGCTCAGGAATTCCCTTAAGGACCATAACACTATTGAAAATCTAACAGACCTCAATTATCATTACAGAGCAACAAGCCAATAATGGAAAAACGAAGGCGCGCGAGAATAAATCAATGTCTGGACGAGCTCAAGGGACTCATTCTTGAAGCAATGAAAAAAGACGTAAGTCGGCCTTTACCTTATTCCATATAAAAAAAGCTCAATAGACCTGCCATACCAGGTAATAATAATAATAATATATAAATATACCTATACTGCAAAATCATTTCAAAAATTTTGAATTTGCTTAATAAAAAAATCAAATGCCAGATAGAAGCTGAAAAACGTTGAGTACGAAAGTTCCGTAGGTATTCGTGTGGCGGTAGAACGTGTTAAAAGTAAAAAGCAGATGTCGTACGCTTATCTGAAAACGTGTTTGGTTAACTGTTATACATTTAAGCGTCTGATAACGTGAGGTATCCAGGTATGAAAGATACTGAAAGAAATTGCATATAGTTAGCTCAGCAAGTATACCAATCATTGTATACTCACGTGAACGCAGATGTATGAGAGCTATAAATAAATAAAGCATTATATTAGTTACAGGATGATGGACCGGAATAGAAAAGAATACAATGAGATATATGAAAAGACAATAGATAGGAGGAAGTTGACTATAGTAGCTAGAGTAAATATTTGATTGGGTTTATGGATGACGTTTGGGTGTCTAGTCTAGTTACGAAAGTCGAGGTATAGTTCTTGCGAGGACATTTGTTTGAAGCGAGCGACCAGAGAGCTGTAGAGGAACGAAGAGACAAAGATAGAGGAAGGTAGCGAGCGAGAGCAAAAGAGAAGACGAGATCGGTGCGGAGAAACAGAAAGAGAGAGAAGTTGGTTTTGTTTTAGTATTTTAGATGCCTTGGCGTGGGAACGGCTCGCACGACCATACCTCCTCCCACCTACAGCATAAAGACTCTTCAATGGCACTCAACCGGTTCAAAAGGGTGCCAAAGAAATTTCAAGTGGATCCAGTTTAATTAATCCCAAAGCATTACGAGCATTAGAAACGATTTTCATTTTATACGAGTAAAACGCCCGTGACCGATCTTACAATAGTACTTGGATAATCGAATGATACAGAGTTGATTAAAAAAAAAAAAAAAAAAATCATTGAATTAAGGTGACTTGGGTGTATAATGTATCCTGGGTACCGAGGGTGTGAAGATTCGAGAGATAAAATTCACACTGGGATAATATGTACTTCTTTGCCAGTAACAGTTCCCGTAGCATCCTTACGCCTGATGAAAGATCTTGTATCAATAAGTAACACGATACAAGCAGATTGATTTCTCAGGACAGCCATAATAAAGGGCAAGAACGCTCTCACCGTTCTTCTCATCCAGATGACTTCCGCTACCTGCTCTCTTCTCTTATGTCCATCCATCCGTCCGTCCTTCTGATCCATCGGTGGGCACGTAACGCCCCCCGCGTTCGTGGGAACCTTGAAATAATTATTAAAAACTCATCTCAGGTTGCAGCCTTCCCTTTGTTGACCGTATCGTCTTTAAGGATCCACCGTATGGGGATGCCGATCGGTCTCGGGAGCGAGTGAGAAGGTGGAGGATAGAGAGATGTTAAGAGAATCTCGAAAAAAGGGATACCACCTTTTTTTATAGTTAGTCGGCCTTGGCAGATGCCAAGACTGCCTCCTCGTTACTATACTACGAATCGAGTAATTTTTATCACAAGGGAATGTCCTGACTGCACGTAATCTAATTATAGAAAATTTTATAGTTTATTATGGTGAATGACGTAATATGAAAAATGTGACATTAAAAAATTATGTAGATATAAGTACCTGAAGGATCTTCTTTGTATGTAATTTCTGGTATTATTATCTGTGATATTGTTGGAAATTCCCACAGTAGCGAAACAATAATGGTAGCATATATATCATAGTGTCACGTATGTTAACCATAGAACTGTTAGTCTCCCACGCCTATTGTCGAGGCAGTTGCGGATTTACCATAAAAATGCGAATGCCTTAAGCTCTCGGATACAAATCTCAGGAATGAAAGGGCTAACAATAGTCTGGTCGAAGTAACTCCGCTGAATCACTATTGAGCTATTTGGTGGGTGGTTAAAGGGCTGCTGGGACTTTTTGGGACCGTTTTGTTCAAACGGATATACGTACCTCTTGGTTTGTTTCTTTTGCTACGTTTAACTTATATTCCATTAAACTCGCGATAGGTATATAGCCATAACTGGATATACTTAAGGAATTCCCACGGCGACCATTATTTCGAACCAACTCGACTTTTACTTGTCGTGGGATTGAAGCGGATTACGGTAGAACTTTCGGAATCGTGAGAAAAATGTGATGATGGTATTTGCAGAGAAATAAAGAACTTTGATGGCAGCCTCGCTCTTTTACGGTCAAGGAACGAGTTGACCTCGTAATCGAGGATGTCCGGATGAGCACGGTTAGTAGAGAGAATAGCGAGGTTCCGAATAGTCATCTTTTTTACTGTATTCTCTTTCACATCTTTTTTTTTGTTTCACGTCTGAACTTTTCGAATATCGTTCGGTCGCAGGTGGTGGCGTGACGAATAGACGAAGGTGGGAACAGGTATAGAGGAAGAAGAAGTAGACGAAAAATGGAAGAGTCGATGTTTCGTAAAAGATTCTAAGATGAGATTTAGATGCCTCAGAGGCATAATAAAATATATCATTCTGTGCTACCGAAGTCACTGGACTACTATTAGCGTAACAGCTCCCGACTAGACTCCATTAAATGGGCGTTACTGCATTAGCATAGATTTCTCCAATTCGTAATTGCTAGTTATCTTTTATGGGTAGCAACTGGAGCCTGAGGCTAAAGACACTGACGCTTAAGAACGACACCAATTACTTTTCTGCACTTAATCCTCGTGGAATTTAACACATTTCACTTTCTTTCGTTACGATCCAGATACACTTCCTACCTAACCCAACGTATCTTGTTCAAACTGTCCTCAACTGGCGAGCGTACCAGTGGCGATTTACGGAACTACTGTAGATAACGTAGAAGCTTCCAGTTACCGACGCAACTGACAGTCGGTATATTTACTACCATCCAGTATTCGCAGCCGGAGGGATTCTAATGAATTTCGCCAATTACTAGTCTATGAAATTATTAGTGTATCATCTTTCCAGTAGCAGTTAATAAGTATTATTAGACTATAAAGAATATTTACAGTGTAAGTACAGATACGAAAAATGCAAGGACGTTAAAAGCAATATTTTTTTTGTTGCAGCCTGCTCGTCATTCAAAATTGGAAAAAGCTGATATACTGGAAATGACAGTGAAGCATCTCCAAACGGTTCAGCGTCAACAATTGAGCACAGCTGTCGCAACAGACCCTGCAGTATTGACAAAATTTCGAACGGGTTTTTCCGAATGCGCAACGGAAGTATCACGTTACGTCAGTCACCTCGAGAACGTCGAACCGGCCGTAAAGCAGAGACTTGTCTCTCATCTCAATAATTGCGTGACGAATTTACAACAAATGGCGCCGTTCTACAGTCATTACGTGCCATACATGCCGGAGAGGCTCTATCCAGAAGTTAAGGTCGGTTTTCAGAGCGATTTTCAAAGTGGCGACGAGAATAACAATGGCAGCGCACGAATACAAATACCGAGCGGTGTACAACTAATACCAAGCAGACTTCCAACTGGAGAATTGGCGCTCCTGGTACCACAGTCAGCTGGAATCGCTGCCAACTTTCCATTCTTTCCACCAGCTGGGGAATCCACGTCGAGAATTGGACAGTCCTCTGCCTTTACTGCTGTTCATCACAGATCTCACAGTCCTCTGCTGAGTCCATCCACCTCGACCTCGAGCTTCGGGGAGGAAAGTCATCACTCGGAGCAGTGTCATCATTCGGCTCATTCGCCAAACAATCATCGCTTCAAAGTACCAGAACCGAGCCCGGCGTCATCCAAGAGCTTCTCCTCGCCTGAAACGCAGAAGCCACAGATCAGCTCCAGCAGTGATCGTAAATCGCCTGAACCAAAAAATGATCTCATCGGGCGTGGAATATCAGCACAGAATCCTGTTCCTGAATCAACCAAGGCTGGCAATGCTCCATCATCCTCGTTGCAAAACCTCAGGCAACCCTTATCCGTTATCACTGATAAGACTTACAATAGATCAGCTATGTTCCCCAAGAAGGAAGGACTTAAGCGACACCATTCGGACGGACTTCTAGTAATTTCGGATAAGAGACCCAAATGTTATGAGGCTTCCAGTTCCGGTACTGTGGCCAGTGCTTCCACTTCCGCTATGTCAAAATCTATGGACGAACGATCTGTCTCTGTTGAGGATTTTTCGGGAAGAAGAGCAGCCTCGTTTGGTATGTCAAATACTAATGGAGATTCTGGACAATCTTCCAATGCTGGTGCTGCTGGACCTTCTGGTACTAATGGAGACATGTGGAGACCTTGGTAAGAACGATATGAAGAAAAGGGACCAGTATGCGGATAGGAAAGTATTGGAAGATGAAGCAAGTGAAGAAAATCAAAGAAGACGGAATGAAGAGGACGTAAATTTTTCTAAATGAGAAAATTAAAGACTGTTTGTTATTTTATAATTTAGTATTACGAGTATTGGCAAGAGCGAGTGCCATTTTTTAATTTTTTTTTACGTTGTTCGAGTTATTGTACCTTATTAAATATTATGTTTTGCGTATGATTTTTTTAGTTTAATTTGCCAATTCTTTATACAATTTTTGATCGTTAAGTACTCGATTGTTTTGCGATTGTTATGCTAAACTTTTATAAGAGATTAGAGGTAAAAAACAAAATATCGAGGTAAGAGGTTTTATCTCGATGAAAAAAAGTTCATATCGTTTTAGCAAGATTTCATGTATTTATTTAAAAAATTTGATATTTCTTAAGAAACACAAAAGAAGGGTAGTGCGCATGCTCACACAATTCTGATAGAAACTCTGTACCAAAAATCCTCAAAATCCTACGTTTAATCACTATACGAATTAAATATTCTTTTAACACGTAAGGAATGAGAATTCTAAGCTTTAAAGTTACTAATTCTTCCTGTAGAAGTAATCGCGTAAATTGTAAATACCACTGTAAATAATCATTCACGTAATTTAATACACCAATTAATGATACGATAAATACTACGCGTAATTTCTCAACTTTCCAGGTGATCGAAATCGGTCAGTACTCGTAAAACCATAGTAGTATTATGTTTTTGTGATAAATATTGTGTAGTGCCCTGTTAAAAATAAAGTTCTCTTTACACAAAAAAAAATTACGAGTATAAATCAGAGATGAAAAATCCCTTAAGAGCATCTCGATATACCCGTTAAAGCATCAAGCCACGTTCGTTTTCCAACAAGTAAAATCCGCCTGGCAGTTTTCACCGTTGAAAACCCATCGAGGTGCTTTATCCTTTTAAGAGGCGTTAAACGCGCTCCGGGTTCATAAGCTGGAGATCATTCTTGTTCTTTTTGCCGATAAAGGAGTAAAAAGGTAAAGAGAACGGGAAATTCAACCACCTGTTACACCGCAAAACTACCCCCGTATTCATCGACCGAGGGAGTAAACTGATTTATCGACTAAGCCGATGAACTTCCTGCGAGATTCTTAACGTTCTCTCAGGACCGTAACAACTGCGCTTATCGACCAAGTCAATTTCATGGCACAAAGGTCTTTTAGTGTCAGAGAGAAAACTTGATAGACCATATAAAAACTTTAATTTAAAAATGAAAAAATATGTTATACATATTCGTCAAACTTTTTCACAATTAGTAAATAAAAGCAAATTTTAAAAAATTTTACAGTCGACTGATCGTACATTTTGTATTTCTTATTAAACAGCATTACAGTTTACTATACGTTTGATATTGTAGTTGCATTGTTACCCGTGCATCGTGGTGTATAAAATGTGTATTTCCGAAAGTTCGTGAAAGCGCCGCTAGATGACGGCGCTGTGCAATGGCGTTGGTATCGCCAGTTTTATTTTATCGGAGTGCTTCTACGTGCCGATAAAAGGAGGATTTCGCGAGCTTACTGGCAGTCCGAGAAGATAATACTGGGGATCTCTTTGCCACGGTAAATTCACGACCTCGACCTCGTACATAGAATCGACCTACTTCGGTAAGTAATTTGTGAAAGCAGATCCGACGCATCTGTCACATTTTCAAAGCACTGCATCGCGTCCATTACGAGACAGCCGGTACGATCATTGTAAATAACTGAACCTTTCCTCATATCTCATAAAATTACAACTTTAACATTAATCTATTAACACGATACGTGCTAGCTAATTTATCTATCCATACGACCGTTCAGCTGCATCTGATATTTCACAAAATATACACGCTATCGTACATCGCAAATATACATATCCTTCTGTTCGCTCAATGATAATTATAAAATTATATAAGATTCGATATAAGTATACGCGTTATTTTTCGAGTAACACTTGCAAGATGCAAGATGTTATCTCGAGAGATAACTGCGATGGAAATATAAGGGAATAGGTCTACGAATACTCAGCGAGTATCAAGTACGATCCCTTGGCAGTATCAGGAGTATAAATAATTACTCTGGCGCGCAGCAATTACTATAAGTTATGGCGTAGCCGCTACAATTTGCAATGTCAAGACATAAACACTGCTACCGCTTACATTTGAATACATTAACTAGTGGCTGGTTCTGATTGGTCATACCAAAGAGGTGCACGCCCGTATCGGTACGTGAGCTACGATCTGGTTGACGATTTTTATTGGGCAAACGATCCTCTTAGGTTAGGTCCACTCGTGCCTGATGGATTCGCATCTTAGTGCAATTCCTCTCTCTCTCTCTCTCTCTCTCTCTCTCTCTCTCTCTCTCTCTCTCTCTCTCTCTCTCTCTCTCTCGCTTCCTCTAAACTCGATTTGCGATTTCCAATTGATCTTGATATCTTTACGAGGCCTGCTTCATGGGATAATCTTCAAAGCCACCATAGTCTGATCATTTTACGACGGTAACTTAAATCTTCACTGCGTGAATCCAAACTCTTAGAAGATACCATAAAATTTCCAAATTTGGCAATTCACAGCGAACTACGTATCCAGACTCACTGTAATTTACGATCAGCTGAAATACACTCACGAATGGATACTTCAATGATGCTCACGGATAACTGGCGTGGCTCCTGACGAATGGGTTTTCTATACTGCGTACAGAGGTAATATAAACTATTGCTAACTGACGACTGAATTGACATCGCCCATTGCGAATTCACCTTTTCGTAATATGTTTCAGAGACCGAGATTGTCGCTTGATACCAGGGACACCAAACAGTCGCTGATATTTTTCGTTTTATGATATTCTGACGATGGCTACTAGTTGTGGAGAAAACTTAGGAAGGGGGCGCAAAGGGTTGAACGGAGTATAGGTAGATGATGGGTGGCATGGAAGCACGACGGGTTGTCGCGTAGGGCGGACGTGCGGCCGCCAGGCCATTTGCTCTGCGGTCTCTTGATTCCCAGCGACCAAATTTTCATCTGTACTCATTCAAGTTTTAATGTGTTTTTGCGGCATCAGTCATTCAAACTTAATCAGTAACTGGCTCCGGGGCGCGCGCGGGCTTCTGTATATCTATATGCGTATGTATATGAGAGAATTGGTCGAGTATTCTGTATGACGGGGACCGTATTAATTATAACTCTGGTCAGAGGAACGTCAAGAGATGCGTTCACGGATACCTACAATAAATTGTCGGTTTACCGACAAATCTCATTTCCAACCCTCGACATTTTTACCCTCGTTATTCTTGCATATCCATTGACTGCTTTGTCAAATCGGTATTTTACCAATAATCGCATATCCATAACGGGCTGTCTATCGCTAGTCGAATTATTATTATATATAATGTTCATTTCTTTTATTTTTCTTAAAAAACTAAGCGTTCCACGATTCCCTTTGTACTGCGGCTAATGCGAATTCGTAGTTAAGGGTTTGTCTTCCAGGCGGTTTAAACTTTTGGCTAAGTGTCCAACGAATACCAGGGACATTCGTTCATCCGTCGGAAATTCCTATATCGCGAGGTCCCACAGTTCGCGGACTGAAGAGAAAGTGTTAGCGTGACGTTAGAGAAGTGGAATAAATCGTGAGTGGAGCAGGAAGCAAAAGAGAATGAATGTGCGTGAGAGAGAAAAAGAGAAGAAGGGTGTTAAAGGGCAAACGAAAGCAAGGAAATAGAAAGCGCAGGATGTGTATATATTGTATATGTATATATATGCATATATATGCGTGCATATAGAGTGAGTGCATATAGTAAAGAGCGAAGAGGAGAGTACCAGTTGGAGCACCATAGAGAAATAAGGATGGAGGATGAAATGACGAAGGTATGGGGAAGCCAAGTGCAAGAGAGAGTGAGCTTGCAAGGGGTGGCTACGAAGGGGTAGGAGAGGACGACGCTTGTGTTTTATTAAGTGCGTCGTAGGGAAAAAGCGCGAGGCAATTTTCAGGTGCTAAAGCGAGCACTGATAACGCGGAACCGCATTTGAAACAGTCCGTTACATTTTTCCAGCCATTATTTTTCCGCCTAGACGCGACTCTTCCATTCCCACGTTTTCCACCCTCTAGCTGCTATTTTCCGTCTCCCGTTTCTACCCTAGGACTCTCGGCCAGATTGGCTTTCCCCGGATTTTCCCGGGACTTGTTGCGTTTCGTATACCTGCGAGCTTTCAGCCCGATACCTTGTACGCTGAGTTCCCCAGTGTCGAGCTGTCTTATCATCTTCCTATCGTATTGCTGTATGTTTATAAGCAGCGCCGGCGCCTTGAAATTTTATATACGATATCGCGTGGCTAGATAGCGACCGATTCTTTTTGTTTAGCCAAGGGATTGAGAGAAAAAGTATAAAAATACACGGAGAACGGGGATTGCGGACAAAGTGAAAATTAATATTCAATCGCATTAACGAATCGTTGGCGACGCCATCAGCGACAGGGACGTACCTATACACGGTTTTATGGTTCCACGGTTTCTATCGACTGCAACCACCCCCCCGCGCCAATTCGGATGCCGTTTCCCAACCCCCTCGCGTACGTTCACATCGGCGGCGACGTCGATGGCGAGGGTGTGGAGGGACCAGAAATGCGCGGCCCGACGCCAAATGAAAATACCGAAGGACAATGGAAATACTAATGATTGATTGGATACGAAAAAGAATTATAATTGAAAAAAACATGGAGGGTTCTGGGTAAAAAAAAATAAAACGAACTATTGGGAATAATATATCAATACCTATCGAAGCCACGCATACAAATGTGCCGGGGGTTGGTACTCCTGGACGTTTCACGGACGCTGGTTGGGGATCGTCGGGTATGTGCTGGCTATACTGCTAGACTGAGAGGGTTAGGATGAGGTTTGGTCCAGAGGATGGAGAGTTTGAGGCCGTTCGGAAAGAGTAAAAAATATTACACTCTCACACAAGCGGCAACCGGCCGATGAAACGGGCACTAACCAATACCAATAGAGGGTGGCACAAAAGAATCGGCCGTTTCGTGTGTGAAAAACAGAGCCTCATACAGTAACGGGGCTCATTGCTTCGATGGCATTATAGCTTTTCATATACTCGGTGGCCTTTGAAATGCAGAATAAAGGGGTAGTTAACGTCCGAGTCCTGGAGGCCGGCGCCTCTGGTATCCCAGACATCCCTCTGCCAAGAACACCCCGAGAACTTTCATTCTCCCACTTGATTCTCCACGATCTACCGATCATCCCCTATTCATTCATAATCGACAATACACCCTGCCAAAAGTATAGAGACTTACCAGCCAGCCGGTATATACCTCAAAATTTAACTTACAAAGTCTTAATGTATCGCACAGTCATAAGTCATTTTTTTTTTTGAAAAAGTTCTAAAAAAAATTATCCACAATTTATACACAGAGATTTCACTCTGCTGATTCTCAGAGGTCAGACGAGTTTTCAAAAAAAAAAAAAAAAGGAAAAAAATTGTGAAAAATAACCAAACTTTTTTATCTATAGTACAATGCTAAAGCTCACTCAACGCATTTCCGTGTCTCACCATACAGTTCTGTACTACCCTGTATACCTATGGACCGCAAGTTCGGGACGAGCAGGCACGTTTAGCATTTGAAAAAAGCCCTCACACGCTCGCGCGCTTCTCCCCACGCCGAATCCATGCACCCGCACAAACAAAAGGCTACATTTAGCATTAAAAAAGCACGCGGAGCGTATATAACGGCCAGTGGCAGTTCCTCTCATCTCCGGGCTTCCACGAGTGGACAAGCGACCCTTATTCGCGCAGTCGGTGTGCCAACGGCAAACGCACGGAAATGGTTATAGAGCGCGGAGGAGTACGCCGAGAGAGAAAGACTGATAACAGAGTGCGAGAGTGGGATCGGGACAGAAGTGGTTGATGCATTGGGACAAACACATTTGGCATTAAAACAGCTCCGACACTACGTATCCTACAGCCCGCGACCCTCCACTAACTCGCTAACGTAATGTTCGTACGTAAACGTAACGTACGTACATACCTATACAGCGCGCAGGGCTGCAGCCCTTGTGTATGTTAGTATATAACTACATATATAGTACACCATCCTCCTACCTTTTTTCATCCAGAAGCCACCTCCACAGCCTCCCCCTCACCGGTGCCTACCCCCCCCCCCCCC